TAAAGCAGTGGTTCTCAACCTTTTTTACTCCAAGACCCCCTCCTCTCCAAATCCATACTGCAAGCCCAAACTTTTCTATTCACTAAAACCTTTGTATTTGTTATTACTTTTCAATTACATGTAATTTTTTTTAAATAAAACAAATTCAAGATAGATTTAAATATTCCATGTTCTTTTTTGCAAACATAATTAGCAAAAATGTCACTGCAGATATTCTATACAACTTAAAAGCATGTAAAGCTCAATTATACAGTAATTTTAACATATAAGCACAAGTCAATTTGCCATCATTTACTGATGCTCAAGAAAGCAACACGATGCATTAAGAGCCGGGGGGTGTAAACTTTTGAACAGGATGATGATGTGTACATTTTTCTTATTTTGTTTAAATATCGTATTTTTTTCATTTGGTACTGCACTTAAGAAGCTACATAAATATTTAAATGTTTCCCAGAAGGCAAAATAAGTACAATTTACCCTGATCATCTAATTCAAAAAGTTTACACCCCCGTCTCTTTATGCATTGTGTGGCCTTCTTGAGCATCAGTACATGTTTTCACCTAATAGTGATGTTTGAGTCCCCCAATTGTCCTCCATGTGAAAAGATGGATCTCAAAATCATACAGTCAATGTTGGAAAGGGTTCAAATATACAGAAAATGTTGGAAAACCAAAGAATGTGGAGGAGCTGGAGGATTTTTCAGATGTATCCTCGTATCGTTACACTCCAATAAAACAAATTCAAGATAGATTTAAATATTCCATGTTCTTTTTTGCAAACATAATTAGCAAAAATGTCACTGCAGATATTCTATACAACTTTATGTATGTATGTAAAGCTCAATTATATGATAATTTTAACATACAAGCACAAGTCAACCTGCCATATCAAACAATACCACAGGGAGATGCCAAAGGGCTGCATATAAACTACTATATTATTCAGGTCCATTCAGAATCACTAAACACACCAAAATACAAATGAAAAATGAAACCATTCTGAACTCAGCGATCTCACCCCTTAGATACTGTTACTATGCACTGAGAAGCGTGCATACTACAGTGAAATCTCACGAAAATATGCACAGGTCACAAAGGAAAAAGATAAGAAATTGTATTTTGCATGAAGAAAATAGAGATTTTTTAAAGAAGATCTTATTTATTTGCAATGTGAATTTTTACATGACAATTTTCCAAAAATGTCACAGGTGGTTGTCTACTTTAGTCAACATAGATGCAAACATTTATGAATAATTATAGCAATTATCCTTATTTCTCTTATTATTTTATTATTCTCATTATAAAAAAAATTATTTTTGTTATTTTATATTACAATATTATATACGTCTTACTCTTAACATCGTATGGCATATATTTGCATATATATGGCATATATATTTCTTCTTTAATCAGCATAAATTAAATGCAAACATTTATTTACAATTATAACAATTCTCATTATTGTAATGGGGAAAAAGTTTTTTTTTTTGAATTTTTTTTACAGTTTTAAGTGGACAATGATTGTTGTCATACAAATAATGCAACAAAGTAAAAAAATAAATAAATAAAAAAAAAGATCTAAAACCAACTTTCTTTATGCAATTTTCTTATTTTAATCATTCTAGACCAAAGGACATTTTCGGAATATTAACTCCATATTAACCCTAAATCCATGACATTAACTGATCATAGCCTTGACTTCTGTTTAAATGTGTGTAACAGTACAAGCAGTGGTGGAAAGAGTACTGAAAAAATATACTCAAGTAAAAGTACCATTACCTTCCAAAAAAATGTAGTGTGAGTAGAGTAAAAGTACTTGTCCAAAAAACTACTTGAGTAAGAGTAAAAGAGTAGCCTATTTAAAAGTACTCATGAGTATTGAGTAGTGAGTACTGAGCTGTGGATTCTACCCCCTCATAATAAACACTGTACACTGCAATTGATACATTCTAAAAACGTTGTACATTCTGTAATTCACATCATCTTATTTGTCAAAGAATGAAGAATATCTATCATCCAGCAGTTTTAATTTTGACTGCCAACTCTCTAAAATACATCAAAACAGCACAGAAACAGTATTCAGTTGAAGAAAAGATGAAAGTTATTCTCAGTACAATCATCCCCATTTAAATCATAAAGTTTGAAAAAAATATATTTAAAATCATGTGTAAGGCCACTGAGACAGCATGCTGTTGTTGCACAAAATATTAATGTTTAGAACAGTGCAAACACAAACACCATTAGAAACTCATAGTTCAGCATCACACACCATGATATGGGTTAAAATGAGAGCCCATTTCTCTCCAAAACGGTGCCAGTTTTAGCGTTTTGCAATAAAGAAATAAAAATAACTAAACTTGATAAGTTATGTTACAATTTTAACATAAATGCACATTGTTCTAGAAGGATGGCAAATTCATGCCATACCTTTTACACATTTACTCGAATTGTTATGCTGATAATACAATTTGCAAGGAAAAATGCATTAAATATAGCGGAGTAAAAGTACCGATACATCACTTAAAATGTACTCAAGTAAAAGTAAAAGTACACAATTTTTAAACTACTAAAAAAAGTACAATTACTGATAAAAACTACTTAATTACGGTAACGTGAGTATTTGTAATTCGTTACTTCACACCCCTGAGTACAAGTAATCAGAAACGTTCACAATCACACTTCTCAGGTTGTCAAAGCTCACATAAACAAACAAAGTCAACTAATGGTGGTAATTAAATCAAGCATATGGCAGCCAGCTCAAACACAGCTGTGTGTGTTGGAGACGAGTAAGTGTGTGTGTGTGTGTGATCTCTGGGCAGTGCGATTCACACATTTATAGAAGGTGTGGACTGAGTGTCAACGAGACAGAAGCGTGAAAGCAACACAATGTCTGAAACTGGAGTAATCACACTCTAGGCGAAATACCTCGGCAAATATCCATCCGCTCACATCACCTTAAGTGTCATTCTGACGTCCAGAACAGCTCTGAGGGCCTTAAGATCATGTAGAGTGAGACTTTGTTAAAACATGACTAAACGTCCCAGGAGAGAGACAGAATTAATGAGAAACTACTCTAAAGTTGAATAATCCCTGTCAGTTTTACAGTTTGAATGAAATGTGACATTTTCCAGCATATATTTATATATACACACACGCACATTTTTTATATTATATAATACGATATAATTCAGCAAATGCAATTGAATTCAAAAAGTACAGACATTTAAAATGTTACTAAAGATTTCACGTGTGAGTGTACGTATACTGTATATATATATATATATATATATATTATACAGTATACGCCATTTTGGAGAGTATCCAAGAATGTATTCCTCGAAAAAACAGCGATGTTTACGTTCGGGGGGAAAGCGCGCGCATGAACGTAATCTGCATAATCTGCGTTGTTTACGCTTAGGTAGGAGCGTGCGTATGTGTTGTGATACTCT